CAGTGCCTGCCTCCCGGCATCAGCCGCCGGATGCCCCCGGCCTTCCGCCCTGCCTCTGGGCCAACTTTCTACTGTGTTCGGGGGCGGTCGCTGGGGATGCCTGGGGGCGCCGCGGCGGAGGCGACGCGAGGAGGAGAGCGTGTTCTCCACTCCTCCTCTGCCGGCCGGCTGCCAGCGTGTCTGCTGCGCTCCGGCTGGCGGCGGCGCTGGCAGAAGCAACAGCTCCCGGGCTAGGAAGGGCCGTAGAGCCACAAATAGGGCAGGCAGATTCTCTGCGCCGCGGCAGGGGACGCACGGAGGAGGAAGGAAGTTTTGTGGAAACTTACATAAGGCCTACAAACGCAGCATGTGTACGCGGATGTGTATGGACACACACACCGAGAGTTGTACGGACTCACAAGTCTTTCTCTGTCCTCAAAGAGGCGCATGGTTTGGCCCTGCATAAGATCTTTGTGTTTTCACAATCAACCCTCAGAAGTGGTTTTTAACGGACGTTATTTCCTTTACTGTAAATTAAGCCCCCAGAGAGCGAGCTGCACTGAGAATAAGAAGTGCAAAAATGTGCTCTGCGACGAGGCCAGCCCTTCCAGGGTCTGAGGACAGTCTCCCCTCTCCTCCACCCTGCGGCTGACTAATAAGGGTTCTGGAGCCCCACCCCCACCCCCCCCCCACCTCCTCCTGCCTAGGCTGGGGAGATGGTAATTCTCCCTCCTTTCACTCTTGCTAAAGCGCTGGAATGAACTGAAAGTTTACGATAAGGTTCCCAATATTCTTGTCTGTCTCCCACACTGACCCATTCGCATCCTGATTGACATTGAGAACTTCTCACAAATGACAGAAACAGATAAGAGAAAACTGTTAACTTTTTTTCTTTTTAGGCAAGTCATAGCATTCTTAGGCAGAAATATTTCAATTATAACTTTAGTAACTACTCAATGAAAGCTTAACTTTTGTTTACATTATTCCAATGGCTTAATATTTTATTAAGAAATACAAAGATGTAATTCTCTATTTCTCATTTTAAAGGTTTCAGGTCGTCTTTTTAAATTTTTTGGAAAGCTTCAGAGTATATAAGGTAAAAAATGCCACTTTCAAACCTTCAAAGTGAAAATTACTGAAATTGAGATGGTACAATGTAAATTTTGTGGGATTGTTTAATTATTTTTTAGCTATCTTGTTGATAAGTACTTTTGAAATAAAAATAAAATTTATAGAGCAGTGACAGTAGATGCAACAAATCCATCTTTTTCATTGATGTGTTTAACATCGCATCAATGGTGTGTTTAATGACAGTGTTGATTCAACCTAGAGCTGAAAACGTTTCATGAAGTTGAAAGAAGTATTACTCATGTATAGACATGGGATATATTCTGTAAAAAGAAAACAATGTATTTGCAAATAGTAAACTTCAAAAATAGGTGAAAACCTTGCTAAAAACGAATAAAGTGGAATTTTAAAAAGAGGTGATCAGACTCAGTCGATAGCTACTATTTCACTTGTGATAAATCTAGGTAGCAAATAACATTGAGGAACAAAGTGTAAGCATCCTAGAATGGATTTGAAATGTCACATCCAAGGTTAAGTATTAAGGTTCCAAGTTTCTTCATTAAGCAAATATACCTCCTAAATACTGCTGTCCAAGAAGGAGAAGAAGAAGAAAAAGAGGAGGAAAAGGAGGAGGAAGGAAGGAAGGAGGATGAAGGAAGGGAGGAGGAGGAAGAGGAAGGAAGAG